GCCATGGTTGACGCCAGGGAAAGTCGGAGATGTGACTCAAACATGACTCAGCTGGGGCTGCTCCTCCTCTCCGGGCAGCCCCACTTGTAGGGGATGAGAGGTAAATAAGCATAAAGAGAGAGAAAATGAGAAGGGCCTTAAGGGAGGTTCCAAGAAAGTGCAAGGAGAGTTCTGAGGAAGGAGAAACGATCTTGTGAATTTTTTTTAAGGTCAATACAGAAACCACTAGGGCAGTGATTTGGGATTGCAGGTTTGTGACCAACCACACTAGTAGGAAGGACTCAGCTGTGAGGGGTTTTGCAAGTAATTAAATGTAACCAACATTTAATGAGCACCTACTACTTGCCGGGTGCTGTGCAACCTGCCGAGGATGCGACAGTGAACAAGACAAATGCAAGGCCCCTCAGGAGAAGCTTAGGAACATCATGTGAAAATTTCCACATGCAGCCTGTTTGGTGTGCCTGGAGCAATTCTCATGGAGTCAGAGGTAGGAAGCAGAGTGGCAAAGATGGGCAGGCCAGAACAGGAGGGGCCTCATGAAGGAGTCTGGACTCTATCCCAAAAACCACGAAGACCCTGAAGATTTAAAGCAGGGGAGTGACGCGATGATATTTGCCTTTCTACAAAATCACCTAGGTTGTGTGTAAAGGGTGGGCCCCGAAAAAAATTTTTTTTTAAAAATTTAAAGAAATTAATTTAAATATAAAAAAAAAAAAAAAAAAAAAATATATATATATAATATATATATATATGCAGCATATATATATATATATAGTAGAGCTTATAATAGGTGGTCCTGAGGGCAAACCTGAGGAAGACATATCTTTGTACTTTTTATTTTTATTTCTAAAAAAAAAAATTTTTTTCTTAATGTTTTTATTTATTTTTGAGAGAGAGAGAGAGACAGAGCATGAGCAGGGAAGGGGCAGAGAAAGAGGGAGACACACAGAATCGAGGGTAGAGACTCCAGGTTTGAGTCATCAGCAGAGCTGATGCGGCTCCGAAACTCACAGACTGTGAGATCATGACCATCTTAAGTCAGAACTCACTCGACGAGCCACCCAGTGCTTCTTAATTTTTATTTTTTAAATGTTTATTTATTTATTTTGATAAGAGTATAAAGTGGTGGCACCAGCGGTGCAGGAGAGGGGGGAGAGAGAGAATCCCAAGCACTGCTAGCGCAGAGCCCGACTCGGGGCTCCATCTCACAAACCGTGAGATCATGACCTGAGCTGAAATCAAGAGTGAGATGCTTAACCAACTGAGTCACCTAGGCGTCCCTCATTCACTCTTCTTAAAACTTAGAGCAAATGCAAACTTCCCCCTCTGTGGCTACTCTGCTTTCAACATGCTCACATCCGATAAGCTTTCCTGACAGCTAGTGTTCCAGAACCACCGTCTGCTTTATCCGTGTGGAGGTCCAAAGGAAACAGGGAAGGATCAGCAGCTGTGATTACAAATTACTGTACTGCATATGAATTGTGATTTTGTAGAGGCTTCCATTTTCTATTTAATTTTACCCATGGCAATTTTTTAAGTAAAGAGCATCTGTGGCACTATTTATTTTCTCATTAAATTGGAGAGTGTAAGGGAGAAGGGGATTATCAATACCCAGGTATGGCTGTGAAATATATCATGTGTAACTATGTCAACAAGCAGTCCTGTGTATCCCAGAGGAAAAAAGGCTGAGAACAAGTGCACTAGAGGTCAGTGATAACTCCGCTGCCACACTCTAGTTCTGTTTCATAGCCCATTCCTGGGAGTTTGGTTTCAAAGGCGTTAGGAAGTCACAGGTAGGGGAAGAAGTCAAATCATACTGTTTGTCTACCCCCAAGATTGTGTAATGCTTCTTGTCTCAGAGTAAAAATAAGGTCCTTACAATGTATACAAGACCCTAGGTGTTCTGCACCCCTGCCCCCTCACTAATCTGTCCCTCCTATCACCTCTCTGACCTCACTCCTTCAGAGTGCCCTCCTCCCTCTGCCCCAGCCACACTGGTCTCCTGGTTCTTCCCATGGCACACGCCTGCCTCAGGACCTTTGCATTTACTATTTCCCCCAGAGTTGTGAATGGCTCTCTCTCCCCCACCTCCTTCAATTCTTTGGTCAAGTGGCATTTTTTTTTAAGGACATACAAAAAACAATATTTTTTTACTTTCAAGAATGCTGCTAGCCAAGAGTATCATGTTTGTCAGTGCCCATAACACATTTAACTAGCCATTTTACAAAAGTTTCCCCCCCAAATCATAATGGACAAATACAATCATCAGCAGTTTGACACAAGAAATGCTGGCCACACAAACAGCATAGGCCTGATTGAAATGTCATCAAACCAACTTGGCCAGCCAGAAAGAAAAGTGTCCAACTCAATACCATAAGAATCTGACACAGATAACTGCATACCCAAGTATCATGAATTCTCTTGGATTCTACAGGTAATTTGTCTCAACAGTGAGAATGTTAACTCAAAAATTTGTAGCTTCTCATAATCAACAAAGTTTAGTATTTAAGATTCTTGACATCAAACTAGAATCCTTATTAATGGCCATGTGGAATCTAAGTTTGAAACATAACAGCCAAAGTGAACCTCACTGAGACTTTCTCTGAGCACCTTATTTACACAGCAGAATTCCCCAGGCTTCCTATCCCCTTGCATGTTCCTGTCCCATGCACTCCTCATCTTTCAGTAAAGGAGTACTCATTTATTTTGTTTTCAGTCTGTCTCCTTGTGCGGCTGGAATGTAAGCTCCACAAGGCAGGGATTTGTGTCTATTCTGTTCCCTGCTATATTCCCAGTGCCGACAACAGCACCTGACAGAAGCAGGTACTTGATGAATGCTTATTAAATGTTGAACAGACCTTGAGGACAAAGATTTTCAGTTACTTTACCTTTAGGAAGCACCCTATTGTCTTTCTTACTTTCTCTTTTATTTTTTTGGTAACAGCAACAACAACCAAAAAAAAAAAAAAAAAAAAAAAAAAAAAAAAAAAACCCAAAAAACAAAAAAACCCTGCCTTTCTAAATACGCTTCACTTAGATTAAACTCAGAATAAGTCAGCTGATTTTGCAAAGACACTGGCCACATCATTTTGGGGTAAGGGGTGACAACCTGGGTTTAGAAACTAATTATAATTGACCACTGAAGTCCAGGGTCAGCTGAGTTTATGTGACCCTGCTTATAAAAACAACCCTCAAGGCTTTTGTTTCCTTTCCTACTGCTTTCACATTCAGATGCCCAGCCCACCCAGTAGCCAGAAAGAAACTGACACACACAAAAAATGTGGCTCTCCCAAGGCTATTTGGTTGGTGAAAGCAGTCATGCTCCCTTCAAACATTTGTTCATAACCCATTCCTTAATCCTGCAAGACGCCGTGCTCGCATTTGGGTCTGAAGACAGTTCCTGCGGCTCATGTGCCACTCACCGTCACCTCCCCAAGCTCTGAGGTCTGTTATGGAACAGCCTCCAAGACTCACTTTGAAACTGTGGTCTAGGGTTGTCCAGTGAAAGGAAAAGACTCAGATGCACTGAGCCTGGCTCCTGCTTGCTGCTGGTGAGGCTAAGTGGGAGTCCCCTGGTTCCCCACAGACCCTCCCCTTCCTGGGGAAGGAAATCTATCATCAGGAAGGCAAATTTGTAAAGATGCTCAACCACTAAAAACATATTCCCACTTAATATGGTTTTCCCTGTACCCAAAGACTCTTACACAAGTTAGAAGGGGACATGTTCTCCCAGACGATTACACTGGGCTCCCTCTGAGGATGTGCCCTAGGGTCCAACTCTGGCCTCTGAATCCCCCACTAAAACCAACAACCTCACTGTGACACAGGACACGTTAAAGACAGCAGACCTGCCACGCTGTTAGATGGTGATATGTCCTATCACTACAGGGAGAATTGGAGGTGGGGGGGGAATAGCTCCCTGTAATGCTCCATTGCCGTTTAAAGAGTATCTATCAGACCCTAGCTCCCAGAACCACTCTGAAGCCTTTTGCCCCTCTTTCTTAGACTTTTCTCCCTCTAGTAAGTTAACAACACAAATCCAAAGTTCAGTGTTTCAAGAACAATAAAGGTGTGACAATGAGGTGACTGGCTTCTGTGCATCACTGAGGAAAACAAGCAAGCCCCCTTCTGAAGGAGGGTGACCCAACCCCCACCCCCACTTCCCTCAGAGCAGCCCACATTCTCAGGTGCCCCTATTGTCCTTCAGGGCCACCAGCCTGTGAAAACACACCTGAAAGATACACTGCTCAGCAGAGTCAAAGGAAAGCTTCTAGAATCTCAGTAGACCAAAGAAGGAATATAATCTGAAGATTATTCTTCCCAACGCCTAATGCGGGCAGAACATAATTCAGAGAACCAGCTAGGTGGAACTCAATTTGACAGCAAATCTCGGGCTGTAAAACACATGAACTGGACTAACTGAGTCAAGCAGAGGCCACCTGACACCATCAGCAACCAAGCAAATGAGTGCTGACGCTCTTACAAAGCCTGGAGCCCAGGGGGTGCCCGTAGATGAGCACACAGACGGCTCTGCTCTCTGGCACCCCCTGGCCGGCTCCTCGCCCTTCCCGAGCACCACTCCTCCCTTTCGAGCTGCGGCACTCACTTTGAGGAAGCCTCTCGTTAAGGACATGCCGGTCCCTAACCAGGATCCCTCCGGGGGTCCGTCGCGGTCGGCTGTGGGAACAGCTGGGGCTTCGGGACGCGCCGTGCCTGGGCCGGGCCTGGGCCGTCTGGAGCCAGGTGGCCGCAGAGCGCGGCCCTCCGACGGCCTTATCGGCAGCAGAGGCTCCCTATCGGGCTGCCCCGGAGCTCAGCTCTCGGGCGGAGGGGAGGAGCCCGCCTGGGGCTCGCAGATTACGGCAGCACCCTCGCCGGCTCCCGCTCCCCCACCCTGGGCGCCGGGCCCAGCTCACCAGGCCGCGAGCGGGGACGGCTAGCCCCTTCCGAAAGGTGCGCCGGAGGGAGGAGGCGAAGGGAGGATCTGCTCGCCACCTCTCCCTCACGGGCCGGCCGGCGGGCCGCGCGGGTCCTCCAGAGGCAAGGCCTCCCAGGGGAGGCTCCAGGAGACAAAGACCCCAGGAGGGGGCAGCGTTCCGTGCATGGGCAGAGGACTTTGGGGGAGCCGCTGGCCTTCTGTGCTAACCAGCCCCTGGTGGGCAGGGGCCTGCGGCTGTGGCCCTCTGTTTTTAACATGCTTTCACTGGACGGCCCCCTTGTTCCTGAATTGCTGATTTGCAGGGAATCTGGGCACAACCTTAATAATATCAGGGCCCAAAATAACAAGGTTCCTGGGAACCAGAGGTGAGTCACCACAAACAGCCGCTTAGAGGGAAGGGGGGCCAAGGCAGCTCCCCACACCACAGCTTCCAAGAGGCGGGGGCTGCCCACAGAACCAGTGCGGGGCCCATCTCAGGCCAAGCTGCTGCAGGCGACCCTTGGGAAGGCTTCTTTCGCAGCATCCGTCCATCACACAGTGGGATGAGGTGGCATCGTCCCAGAGTGGCTTTATTCGTGAGAACACTGTGCCCTGGAGTAGCAGTTGGTGGCTGGCAGAGGGGACAGATGACCCAAAGGATCGGAGCTGAGCTGTAAGGCCTGGAGAATGGCAGTCTCCCTGGGGCCTGGGAGTGGCTTCACCTAGATGGGGCTGCCATGTATGTGAGATGTATCCTGGTTTTCCTCTCAAAAGCATATTGACACCTCTGTGGTCGTCCTGCCCAGGAAGGCTCACTCTGTCCTCGCTCACATGCCTCTCAGCCTCCCACTAGACTGAGGCTGGTCCAGGTCCCCTGACAGGCAACCATCTGGCTTAGGAGCTTTTCTGCAGATCCAAACGGTCCTGTTGTGAGGGCACAGCTGCCGTGGAAAACGTGACCGAGGGCCACTCCATGACCCTCTGTTTTCCACAGCAGCTGGAAAGCACCCCAGTGCAGGCTGGTCTCCAAGCAGACCAGCACCTGACGTGGTGTGGGGAGGGCAGAGCAGGTTCTGGGCCACATTTTGACTAAAAATAACCACCACAATCATTATAGAACAAGTCCTTACAGATGTCTTTTGAAGCATATAATAAGAAACAATGGCTTTTGTTTTTTAAGGGGCCCAGAAGCCTAAAAGATGTGAAAGAAGCTGGTCATGTTAGGCATGACTTCAACCAACTCTACCACAGGACAAATGGTCTTACTTGCCAACAAATATTGGGCTAGCCTAGTCCACCATGCAGAGTGTTGCCCCGCACCTCACTTAGGTGTAGGAATGGGTTTGGAATCGATCGTGTGTGGATTGGTACATTGCACATTCTCAGTAAAGGTTTCTGGAATTAATCCATGGTTGTCACCAGCAGCATGATAAGAGCAAGAAGCCATTTCACCATCCAGAGAAGAGGAAAGACTGTTTTTCTCTTCAGAGTTTCCAGTCCCTGAGGAAAAAAGGCCAGCAAGGAAGCATGGAGTATAACACAATTTAGAAAATGCCCTGTAAGTAGAAACAAATGTCAAATCTTTGGCAAGGGTAGACCGTCAGGCAGGCTTGATGCTTTGTGTGAGGTCCTCGTGTGTTACTTCCTGTGGCAAGACAGTCCCCCACAGGTCCCTGAGCCCTACACTCCAGCAGCTGAGTGACTCGGGGAGCTGGGGCACCTCAGAATTTAATCCCAGAACCACATCCCCCCCAGGCAACCCAAGGTTCTTCTCTCGTGGATACATCAAGGGCTGGGGGGAAGGCCAGGCACATGTGGGGCAAACTAACAACCAGGCTCAAGGGATCAGGACCCGCCACGCCAGCAGCTGGGTCTCAAAGAAGTGGACCCACGACATGCATGATCCCCCCGAATTCATCCCTGGAGCAGCGTTCCCTGGGTCAGTCAGGCAGGGATGGGTGCTTTTTGTGATATGGGCTGAAGTGACATTGTCACTCCCTTGTCAGCAGACTTCTCTCAAGAGCTTTCACAAGCTCTCTGCCATGTAATACCTTTTTCTTTCTTCAGTCTCTCAAAGGGAGCCACAAAGCTGTCCCAGCACGTGATGTGCAAGCCCAGGCTATTTCGAGATTGGGAGGATGCCTTGAAAATTCAGCACCGCCTTCCCCCCCCCCTGCCCCCGACCCCGGGTCTTTCACAAGCCCCTCTTCTCTTTGTTTGGTTTATATATTTACATACGACTTTATATCCAGTGCTTACTGTGTGGCAGGCACTGTTCCAAACACTTGACATTAATTTACATAATTCTTACAATTCATTTGTGAAGAATTATTTACTATCAGTAGGCCCAGTTTATAGATGAGGAAACTGAGGCATGGAGCAATCAAAAAACCCACTTAAGAACAGGCAGAGCCAGCTTCCAGCCCAGGCAGTCTGAATGTAGGGTCTGGAGCCCAACTGGGTTATTGTGCTTTAGGATCAACACTTTAATTTTGTTCATGATTTGCCAATCCATTTTCCTTCATACTAATCAACATTAATATATTTTGTTCATTAATTATCAATTAATTAATTTTTCTTAATACTAATATATTCATTCCATTACTAATAAGTATATACTATAAAAATTCAACAACTGTTGGATGTTGCAAGTATTGTTGTTTTGCAAGTATTTTTTTAATGTTTATTTTTTTTTAATTTTTTAAAAATGTGTATTTATTCTTGAGACAGAAACAGAGCATGAACAGGGGACGGGCAGAGAGAGAGGGAGACACAGAATCTGAAACAGGCTCCAGGCTCTGAGCTGTCAGCACAGAGTCCAACGCAGGGCTCTAACCCACGAACTGTGAGATCATGACCTGAGCCGAAGTCGGACGCCCAACCGACTGAGCCACCCAGGCTCCCCTGTAATGTTTATTTTTGAGAGAGAGAGAACGCAAGAGCGGGGCAGGGGCAGAGAGAGACAGAAATCCTAAGCAGTCTCTGCGCTGTTAGTGCAAAGCCTGAGGCAGGGCTCGAAAACACGAACCGTGAGCTCACGACCTGAGCCAAACAAAGTAGGATGTTCAACCGACTGAGCGACCCAGGCGTCCTTCTTGTGTTGGTGTTCTATTTTTCAAAGATGATAAATAAGTCAATAGAAAAAGGTTTTAATAGGTTTTTATTATGAAACCAATAAGACATCCTCATTGAAAAATATACAGTCTTTCATCTGGTTCCTTTTACCTCATGTCCCCACCACTCCCCAGACAGTTGTCAACACCATCCCAAACTTTGTGTTCATCAGTCCCTTGCTCCTCTTTCTAGTTTTGCCACCTCTGTATGTATCCTTCTGAACAATGTATTGTTTAATTTTGCATGTTTTCTGACTTTGAATAAGTGGAATTATGGAATAGCTTCTCCAGCTATTTTCATTTCTTATGCAACATGATGTTCCTGAGATTCAGCCAGGAGTGGTTTATTAATTTTCACTGCTGTACAGTATTCCATTGTATGCAAACACCAGGAATTATTTATCCATTTTACTGCTAATGGAATCTGAACTGTCTTCAGCTTTTCGCTATTAAAACATTACCGCCACAAGCATCCTTGTAAGAGCTTTGTGCTGCATGTGTGCAAGATTTGTCTAGTGTGCACATGGGCGGGAGCAGAATCCCTTCCCTGTAATGTACATACATCTTCACTTTTACTGGATAACGCCGAGCTGTTTTTGAAACTGGCTGCTCAATTTGTACTCCTAATAGCAGGTGGTGCCGTTGGTCCTAAAGTTTGTCGGACTTTTAAACTTTTGTGAAACTGGCAGGTGTAAAATGGTATGTCGTTACAGTTTTAATTTGCATTTCCCTAATTACTAAGGTGGTTGGGCAGCTTTGCACATGTGTATTGGCCACTTATTTTCCTCTTCTGCAAAATTACTGTTAAGCAGCCCTTTGCCCATTTTTCTGTTCTGTTGTTTGTCTTTCTCTTATTGACGTGGAGTTCTTTCTATAGTCTGGATAGGAATCATTTATTAATCACATGCATACAAATATCTTCTCCCAGTGTGTGGCTCATCTTTTTACTTTTTAAAATAGTATCTTTTAATGAACAGAAGTTGTCAATTTTAATGTAATTAAATATAACAATCATTTCCTTTGTGACTGGTGCTTTTTCTGTCATGTTTAAGAAATCCAACCCTAGGGGCAGCTAAGTGGCTCAGTCATGTTGAGTGTCCGACTTCAGCTCAGGTCACAATCTCACAGTTCGTGAGTTGGAGCCCCGCATCGTGCTCTGCCATCGGCACAGGGCCTGCTTTGGATCTTCTGCCCCTCTCTCTCTCTGCCCCTCCCCTGCTTGTGCTCTCTCTCTCAAAAATAAATAAACATTAAAAAAGAGAGAGAGAGAACTCCATCCCGAACCTGAGCTCATAAGCACATTTTCCTGTATTGTAAATATTTTATAGTTTTGATTGTTACATTTAGATCTTTCAATCCACATGGCTTATTTTTTTAAAAAAATTTTTAACATTTACTTATTTTTGAGAGACAGAGCATGAGCAGGGGAGGGGCCGAGAGAGAAGGAGACACAGAATCCGAACCAGACTCCAGGCTCTGAGCTGTCAGCACAGAGCCCCATGCAGGGCTTGAACTCACAAACCATGAGATCATGGCCTGAGCGGAAGTTGGACGCTTAACCAACTGAGCCACCCAGGCGTCCCTCACATGGCTTATTTTTGTGCATAATATGAATTAAGAGTTCTATTTTTTCCCTATAGAGCCTTGATTATCCTAGCACCGTTTATTGAATAACCTGTCCTTTCTCCACTGAAGTGCAGCACCATGCCCATTATGGTGGTGTCTCCACGTACATGGGTCTGTTGGGGGCTCTCTCCTATTACCCTCTGGCCTGTGCATCTATCTCATTGCCAGTATCATGCTGTCTTCATTGCTATTGCTTTATCTTAAGTTTAATATTGTTCGTAATAAGTCTTAATGTTATCTTGCTTTAGTCCTCTTTAAAAGTATCAAAGCTTCTCTTGGCCCTTTGCTCTTCTACATACATTTAGGAAAATGCCACACACACACACACACACACACACACACACACACACACAAACTCTCTAGGGATTTTGACTTCAACTACATAGAATTTGTT